CTTCGAAAATTGTTATGATTCTCCGAAAATTTTAAATTTTCCCAAATTATCTTGATTTCGCGGCGATTTAAAGCCTTAGCAATGGCAACTTGAGTCATCAGTCAAATGCCTTCATATCCACACAACATTTTGAAAAAAAAACCGAAAACGGGAGAAAAAAAACTGTTGAAACTCACGATTCTTCTCCCAGTTTTCAGGGGAAATACCAGGTATTTCTCAATCGATCCGCGAGAACACAGCGCATAATAGGGGCGCAAAAGTGAACTTGAAATGCAAAAAAGAATCATTACTGGTGAATATTAGTTTCTTACACAGCCCCTTGATTTTCTATCGTTTCCAAAAATCGCACACTTCGAAAAAAAATAACAGAACGAACCTTCCACAACGAATATCGACTCAACCCGGGAAGTTCAGTAAAAAGTAAAAATTCGAATGCAGATAAATGTACATTGAACAAATTTTGATTAAAAATGTTTTTTTCTTTTTTTCCAGACTTTTTCTGCTTGCCCGGGGGCAGCAGGGCCAGCATGAGCGTGCTGGGCCACATGGTCATGTCCACGGTCCGCCCCCTGGCCCCCGAGTGGAATGCCGAGGACAGAATGGCCCTGGAAAAAGAGCTAAACGAAGTCACCCGACGGCTGCAGGCCATGCAACAGTACCTGCCCTGCGAGGGCCACCACAACCACAACCAATCTCATCACAACTGCCAGAGTATGATACATCTCTCACTTTTGTCAAATATGAAATACTTGAAAAAAAAAGATTGCAGTTGATCTTCCAATCTTCAACTCATCATCTCATTCAACTGCCACATAATAAACCAAATGCAGGAGGAAATACAGTGAGACCCCCACATGCGGATATCTCAACATGAGGACAATTCAACATAGGGACATTTATTTTTTAATAAAATGGGCATGAAAAACGCCCAAAATATGGACACTGACTCAAAATGAGGATATTGCATGATAAAATTGCCCATACATTTCACAAAAATTGACTTTTATTCAGCTTGATTGCAAGAAACAGATATTTCCAACCCTAAGATATATGCAAGAAAAATTCTTTGTCCTTTTTGCCATCATTTTCCCATCCCTTCAGCTAATTAAAAAAAAGTACCTATTGTATAGAGGGACTTCCTCCTGTCTTTGTGACTTCAATGTTAATTTTGTGTAATTTTTTTTATGTATTTTGCAGCAGAGAGATACTCTATTCAATTCAATTCTATTCTATTCAATTGAAAAGTTACTCTTTTCAGTTCCAAATGTTCTTATTGAGTTGAAAGTATTTTTACTGAATCAAATTCAAGTGGAAAACAATTTTTTTCATGAAATTCTCAAGAATATTTCTTCCATAAAACACCAATTAAAAATTATATAATGTAAGTCTATGGGAAAACAAGACTCAACTTACAGACAATTCAACTTCGGGACACTCTTGATGCATCAATTACGTCCGCATCTAGGGGTCTCACTGTATTCAACAAACAGAGAACTGAAAGTAAAACCAAAATCGCGCCAAGAAATGTTGACAAAGTTTCAGACCCAACCCAAAAGAAAGATACTCTGCAATGAAAACTGACATCACCGAACGGAGCAAAACTGTTTCCTTCTAAAAATAATAATGTGGTACACCTCAAATACTTGAAGACTCGCATTCTAACGCGTTTTTCGTCATATAAAATGCCAACCTAACTCTGTATAACAAAAAAAGGTGTTTGGAGCAACTCAACATCGATTTTCTTCCCCCATACTTCTCTACATATTTACCCGAATACACAAAACATCCTGTTCTTTCATTTCTTTCGTCATTCTTGAATCGATCCTCCGTCACTTGCTCAGCATACGACAAAAGAAGAACCTTCAATTTCCTGGTTCAAACCTTACCAACAACAACAAAAAAGTATTCTTGAGAAAGAACAAGAAAAAAGGGAACCCAAGACCGCCTCTCTGATGTTCGTTCTCCGCAGCTTTTAGGGAGTATATAGGAATACTTTTTATCCCCGAAATCTCAGACATCTTTCTTTTTTTTTTCTCCTTAGGGATACAAAAGAGGTCCCATCAATCGGAGAAATAGTCACTTGGTAACTCAGATCACGTCTGACAAGACGGAATCAGATTCCCTTCCACGTTAGCGTCTTCTTGAAAAGTATAAAAGAGGGAAAAAACAGGTCCATCGTGCGGAAATACGACGAGAGCTTTTCAAAAGCCAAGAGTTCCAAGGAGAAAAATTAGAAAGAAAAGCCTAATCCATTTCAAAGGCAGTCAATGACGATTCGAAAACAAAAAACAAATAATATTCCGAAGTTCGCGAGCTTGAGTGAAATTCCATTGAAGAATCTTTTTCACGATCACATGAATTGAACGAAGGTCGGAAATGCGTAACTTTTGACAATAAGTCGGGCATTTATTTATTGAAGAACTCTCCAATAAGGGGTTCACTCGATCATTTTCCGAACTAAAATTAAAAGCAAAATTCGCCAACAACTTCTCAATTCAACGAAAAAAACTTCAGTCCTCTTCAATTACAATTTCAAGCATTCCAAAAATCGAATTGAAACATCGATAATTAATCCCCACTGTTTTTTCTATTTTTTTAAATATCCTACGAAGAAAAGGTCCTTATGTTGGTACGAAAGTATTTACTAAATCATGCTTATTTTCTATTTGAAGTCTAAAATGCGATTCTCCGTCAAGTGCGATTCGAATCACTATTCCCGAAACACGGAATAACCCAATTTAACCTATAATTTTCCACAGTAAGTTTTTCAGGAGCAAATTCGAGTTTATTGCAGGATTATCAGAAGTACGCCTTCAAAAAAGGGAAATTTTAGCACAACTATGCTAATTCGAAACCACTTCGCAGGCTTTCGGAAAAGTAACTTTTTATGATAATTAACAGAGAGCCCTTCATATATTCAAATGGAAACTTCAAAGGGTTAGATATGCAAAACATGTCCTCAACTTCTCCAACATTGCGCATAATCCAATTCAATTATTCACAAATACTTAATTGAAAAAAAATTGGATGAATAAGAAAAAAGGGACCCTTCACACTTTCATTGCGGCGTGTCCATAACTAAAAATTTTTACCGCATCCAAAGAATCGCCTTTGAATAAATACATTTTGCATTGGAACAAAAATCATTCTGTGTTGATATGAATGAAAAATCGGACCGCATTGAGCATTGATTCGGAAAATTGGCCTAATGTAAAACTGTATTTTTCTTCATTACTGGTAAATACGAAAAAATTAAAAATTTTGAAAAGTTGTAGACGAACTCCAGCTGTAATTTCATCTATATTTAATACGTATTAGGCATAAATATCTAGGAATAAAGTCCACTCCGAAGTACAGTAAACTGTACTTGAAATTAAGTTTCTTTTGAGAAAAATCTCATTTCAATTTCAAAATACTCCATTGCGTTTCATAATAGCATTGCTCGTTATTTGCAACTCAAAGGATTACTTAAAATGACCACAGCAATCATATTCATGGACAACAAGAGAAAAATTATACCTTATACGCAATAAGTCACAAGAAAAATTTAAATTCCAGGAAATAGAAAATTAAATTCATCTTGACAAAACCCAGGTTTTCACATTAGAAACGCTTCAGGAAAACCACAACGTAATGAACTTTTCCACCTGCTTCGCAAGGTTTTTCGAACGACGTTTCATTTTATTTATATGAACTCGCAGCTGATATTTAAATTGGAAAATAAAAGAAGGCGACAATTGCTCGGAAATAATCGAACCATAATTTCATTTAAAACTGCATTCAGGTACTCAACGTATTCCGTTCGGAAAATGAGCTGATTGAAAATCGGTTTGATACTTTTTTTTTCCTGGATCACCCGTTGACCAGAAGAAACAAAAAAAAAAACATTGAAACTTCAATGCAACAGAAACACCAATGACAAGATATTCTCGTGCTAATACAATATTTCCCCCCCCCCCCCCCCCCCCCCCCCCCCC